AACAGACCTCATAACACCTTCCAGCAATAATTAGAATTGTAAGGAAAGGCAATTATTGGTCTGCAAACTACCGAATGAACTAGAAAAAGTTTACTTGCACCAGCGGGTGTTAGTTACCACTTGCAGGATTGGAGGTGATGGCAACCCTCACTTGCATTTTCGACAAGAAATCGGAATGGTATTATGCTGTACACAACATTATATATGAATAATCACATTACTCCAGAAAATTATGAACGCCTCTCCATTCTATATTAGAGCTACAGTATCTGCAATAACTATAAGTAATGGTAATATAGGATAAAACCCACACTTGTGTATTTGTGAAATTTATGTAAGGAATTTACCAAGTCTTGATTAGATTAGTCGTTACACCGAGTCTTGATTAGGCTTTGAGATGTAAGTCTCGTCCTAATCTCACGCTCAGACCTTGACAAAGTACTCTGGAGAGTGTGAAAGACTTGGTGTAAATTCCTTACATAAATTTCACAAATACACAAGTGTAGGTTTTTATCCTATGTCGTTATGCCTGTGAAAAGACATTATCATTAAGTAATGGTAATGCCTTCTCAGAGACTTAATAACATAGGATAACAACCCACACTTGTGTGTTTGTATTTTGTGTAAAGATTTACACCGTCTTTGATTTGATTTGCACACTCCTGAGTGCTTTATCAAAGTCTGCGTACGTGTATATGGTTAGGATGAGACTTTCATCTCGATGGCTAATACGGTTGCTACCCAGGATCCAGTTCTTTCCTTCCTGACCACCTGACCATGTCACATCTATTGCTGACTGCCAACGTACCCACAGGGATGTCTTCTGTGGAAGTGAGTTTTTATCCTACAATTGCAATGAGTCTGTTACATTTCTCAAAAGTATTCCCTGTGGCTCTGTACCACTTGAACTGCGCAACAGAAACGCTGGAATTCAATAATCAATGATTCTCTATGAACTCGGACAACAGGAACAAATTTTGTTCACCTACTGAGCCAGGACTGTCTCCAGGGTAGAGGAAGGAGCACTGGGCAAGTCAGTTCCCCACTGTTGACTGTGGTTCTCTCGGCTCGTCTTCCTTTGATGGTGCAGAAGATACTAGAGATTTATCCATAGAGTTTTGATTAATCTGTATCTTGTAAACTGCCTTTCATCATTGTCACAGTATTCACTGCCTTGGCACTGTACCTTGTATGCTGCAGCTAATTATAGTAATATATTGGTTAGCTTGATCACCACTGACACTTTCTCTTTAATCACAATTAATTAATCCCCACTGCATCAATTTTCCCTTTTACTTAATCACTGTAACTTAATGAGTAGTTACTACATTTCCTCAGTCTGCGATGAGCACTTGTAATCTTCAGGGATCGCCACATTATCCTTATGTTTCACTAGAACCATCAATTGTTTGTGGTTACCTCGCTTGCCACACAACTGCACTCTGTTTACCATTATTCTTTTTTTATGTTTTCCCACTGTTGCCACACTGCACCGAGCTCATTAAACCCCACACAGCTCACCTCAGTCACTAACCAGGTCTCTTGGTGGCCTTCCAGATGGTAGTTACCAAATTGCCGATGAATATATAAAGCAGTCCCAGGGGCTCTACTTCAGCCCCACTGCCTCTGCAAAATGCTGCTGTAATCTCCCACACCAGTGATGTCCTCAATCCTGGTGAGATGATTTCCGTGGGTATGTCGTAGCCTTACTGGAGTTCCTCTCACTAGGCAGTTTCCCTTACAACATTATTACTCCACTACTTGCATACACTGCCAGTGCATACCAAACACTGAATTTCTATCATTGGTAACAGGACTGAGCCACACCATTAGGCTCCTTACAACCAAACAACTGGCTGCCTACTTGACAGACTACTGACAACTGGCCACTGAGTGGCCAGCTACTGATGGCTGATTTGTGCTCCACAGTGCTTTAAAATTAGTGTAATTAAATACGTTCAAGTAGTGACATCACCCTTGACACCCACTCTGGACGTCATTGTTGTATGCTCGCAATTGGTTGGTTTCCTCTGACCTGCTGATTAGCATACATACATCACTTCATCTGACTCGATGGATTTCCCCCACAATGTCATGGATTACCCATGACTTCCTGCTGTTCAAAATAGATTTACAGGGTCAGGGAGCCATCTTGAGCAACATTTATAAGTTAACTGTACTGCTTTCTTAATAAGCTCTCTAGCTCCTTTACACTTTTTTTTCCCAATCAGTTAAAAAAAAAAATCCAATTGCATTGATAATTCAGTGCAACTGAATTCTCCTGGTTTGGTAGTAATGAGGACCATAGTATATATACCAACGTACAATGAAATTAGAAAGTAGAACTCTGAACTATTGAGTTTGACAAACCGTAAAAATATTTTTTTACTTGTGTTGCTTTGACAAACTAACCTAACCTTGGGTTCCTGCTCTCCTGCTTTTGCCACACTATTTTTTTTCTTCTTTACCATATCTGCAATCTCTTCATCCCTGGCCTTTGAGGCATCTGTGGGGTTTTAAAAGTCTGCAGCTGTTGCCAGCCTACCTGCTTGCAGTCACTCGTCTCTGATGCGATTTGTTGCCCTCAGAATTTTTTTTTGTCCGAGGTCTCCGGTTAATTAATGCCCCCTGAATAACTTAGAATGTTCTGTTCTGCATGGCCGTTTGCCCTTTGTCTTCTTACATAGTCCCTTTTGAGGCATTTTGGTAAGTAAGTGATGGAAGCTACCAAGGGGTGTAAACTGAAAAATGAAGCATTAGTATGCAGACGAGGAGTCACAATAAAGTGGCTGAAATATGTTGACCAAACCACACTTTCTAGTGTGGTTTCTCTTTACTTTCTAGTGTGTGGTTTGGTCAACAAGCATTAGTAGTTCTTCATTCCTGTCATGGAGTCAGTTACCTATGTGGGACACTGCCTGATTGCATTTAGGGTAATTGTTTGAGTGGGGATTAAGTAGTTCTGTGACTTCTTTGGGTATTGGAGATTAGTTTTTCATGGGCAAGTTTTCTTCCTTCTCGGCCACTAACTTCTGCAGTGGTTGATCTTTTGATCTTTGATCCATGAGAAAATTCCCAGCACCAATGGTGGTGAGAGTGGGGGCAAGTGAAGAAGGTAGTTGTCCTCGCCATGCTGAGTTTGTCAACAGGAGCCTGACATTTTCACTTGTGATAGCGTGGTAAACTGAGGGGAGCTGCCCAGTTGTAGCCAGGAAGAATCATTTTCTTGCTCTGAATGTATAATTTACAAAAATTTGTATTTGTTATTTTTACTCTGTATTGAAAAAGTTTTCTGGAAAGATCATTTCATTTTCTTACTGGAAATGTACTGTAATAAAGAGAACTATTCCACCTTTTGCCACCCAAAAAATTTAATTATACATACTGTATATATATCTACATATCTATATTAATATACTGTACTGGTATATAGCAGTATATTTGTTGTATGCAAGATATTCGATATCTAGGGAATGTGTATGGGCTAGTGTCACAGTATTGCATTTCTTGGACCATCTTTTATTTTATATGGAGACTCAGAGGAGTAATTATTTTTTTTTTAACTGCTGAAAGAATTTTGGCAGCATTTTCAGTGGCATAGATGGAAAAAGCAGGTATTTTTCTTGTTATAAGTAGATGTAATAAAGGATGCAGAACAAAACTATACATTTTATATTTTTCTTGCCTTGATGAGAACACTTTCCAGAAAGGGCTGCAGTAAAAGGGTTGATTACTGAATTTAGACTGGTGAGATATCAAGGACTTGTAGGTATATTGTTTCTGCTTTTAACTGCTGTTTGTTGTTTATGGCGTGAGTACACATTTATTTGCGATTAAACTTAAAAAAAAATGACTTATCGAAGATGGATTAACAATGTGAACTCGTTGAACAATGTTGCAATGATTGTCCCATCCCATTAACTGAAGTTGTGTTGTATGTACTTTGTGTACTTGTATACAGCCTGTACTAACAGTCAGTACCCAACTAGTCAAGTTCCTTTTTCCTTGTAGAAGGGTGTTTTAGTTGGCAGACATTGTGTGCAAAATAGTACTTGCATATATTCTTCAAAGAAGTTTTAATTTGCAACTCTTGCTACAGATCTTATTTAACCTCTTAAGTAAACAAAAAGTATAAGATTTAAATTTATTTGAAATAGATGATATACTTGTATTGTTATTTTACTAAAATATATGTACTAATATTCATATAAATGTTTATTATGTATAGAAGTACAGTACAAATAAGTACAGTACTTCGATTGCTATTAAAAAACATTTAGTGTTCAAGTTCAGGTGAATAGAAGATGGCAGAAGAAACCATTTTGTTTCATTTAATTTGGTTTTCGTGATAACTTATTAACACGGTTAAAGACTAAAACAGTGGTTCCCAACCTTTGTGGTCTTGTTTTCTAATACTCAAAATTAAGAGTTTTCTCAAATACATTTAGAAACGTGTGCCTTTTCTTCAGACGAGTTAAAAACTTTATTTAAAACAGGCTTGTAAGAATTGCCTTGGGTCTCCTGTAAATTTGGTGATGCATACATGTACTGTACAGTAGTTGTTTTCTAATGTTGAAGAAATTTTTTTTTTTTTTTTTTTTTTTTAATTCATTTTCTGATGAAATTGTCAGGTGTGTGTGCATAATCACTAAAAAAAATCACACTAAGCAACTAGGCCTAGCAGTAGAGAATTTCAGATGTGTTCAAATATGAAATTGATATCCATTGCCTAATCAGTATACTTGCATCTTGCTAATTCTCAAAGATTCAGATATACAGTGCTCAGAATTTAGGTTCTGTAATCCCCATCAGAAAACATTTTGTAGCCCCGTTCGTGACTTACTGGTTGGGAACTAGTGCAGTAAGGGAATGGTTATAACATAATGACAAATAAGCATAAAATGTTTTGATAGCATGGTATAGAGTACTGTACTTGCAAATCTAATTAAGAAATGTGACCACTGTACCAGCAATATTGAAGTTATTCAATTATTCAACAGATCCTCAAAGAATTAGATTATGGAGCAAGTGTTGACTGGTGGGCATTGGGTGTCCTGATGTATGAAATGATGGCGGGCCAGCCTCCGTTTGAAGCCGACAATGAGGATGACTTGTTCGAGTCCATCCTTCATGAAGAAGTTTTGTATCCTGTTTGGCTCTCCAAAGAGGCTGTCTCAATTTTAAAAGGGGTTAGTTTTATATTTGATTAAACATTTAATTATATCAATATTTTTATATTTGTTTAATTTAGTTCCTGGTGGCATGGTGGTAACAGTTGCCTTGTGAGTGATGTCTAGGTTCGAGTTCTGGCCAGGGAGGATTGTCTGGGCATCAATCCTTAACTGTTTGCCTCTGTTCACCCAGCAGTAATTGGGTAATTGATTGATAACCATTTGGCAGATTGTATTTAAGGGAAACTAGTGAGTAAGACTTACCATATGCAGTTAGAAAGGGAAAGCTCAGAGCTTGCTAACAGGAGTCATAAATCATCAGTTTCTGTACTCGCCTGCATAAAAAACCCAGTATAGTAGAGAACAATTGTAAATTAACTAGGAATACATTACCTAGTTGAAATACAGTACTGTATATGGTTGTTTGGAAAGTATTTAATTAAATGTGCAATAATTATCACAAGTTATGCATTTCTTTTTTTGCATGGAATAACTTTTCAGAAAATTTTAATGTTAATGTGAAGACATTTTTGTTATACTATTTATACCATTATTTTATCTTATTAGTAATGTAATGTTGAACTAAATATAGTAGTCGCTCAATATTTGTGAAGGATATGTTCCTAGAAATGCCTCGTATAGAATATTGTATATTGTTTTATGAAAAAAAAATGGAATGTGTTCGAGACCCAACAAAAGTCCTAGTCTTATTCAGCTCTCGATGAAAGACCTTTATCAACATATTACTTAACACTACTGTCATTTCTCAGCTGGAAATACACTGGTAAAAAAAAAACCTTACAAGACGGCATCAATAAAAATGAAGCGGTATAATGAAATAAACATTTTTGGAGTGGTTTCCTCACTGGTGTCCCAGTTCTTGTTTCCCATGAGGAGGAACCCTGGCTTGGAGTCTAGACAAGTGTATATAATTAAACTATTATACGGTCTTGACTAAACCAGCTTGTCAACAGACCTCACATTTTCGACTAGGTCGCAAGTCCTCGCTACAAGGGACAGGGCAGTCAGAAAGTGTGCGCGCCCCCAGACGAGGAACCCAAAACCTTAAAAGACTACTCTGGTAGGGAATGAAAATCACAATCAGGCTTAGTGTACTGGCTTTCAGGCTTGGTCTGCTGATAGCTGCTGTTTTTTTCTCATAGGTCCACGGTCTCCTATCTTCAGGCATTCAATACCAAACTGTCTTGCAATTTGGTCACTGTATGTGTATGCATGGACAGATTGAAGAAGGCATAATTTGTTTGTCTGGGGCTTCCCATTCTGTTCCCTGTGACATGGATGAGGCTTCCTAACCCAAGTATGCAAGTATGTAAATTCATGAACTTGTAACCCACAAATATTGAGGGAATACTGTAAACTATAGGCAAGTATCATTAGGGAAACATTATATATAAATGTATCATAATTTATCCAACTTTAGCAAAATGTTAAGAAATAAGATGACTTAAGAATCACCCCTTCACAGTTCATGACAAAGGAACCTTCAAAGCGACTAGGGTGCGTCATGGAACGTGGCGGTGAACTGGCAATCCGTAACCATAAGTTCTTTAGGGAAATTGATTGGGATGCGCTCGAGCAGCGAAAAGTAAAGCCACCTTTCACACCTAAAATTGTAAGTATTTGGAAGTTATTTATAAATAATTGTTAATACTTGGTTTATTTTTGTAATAATAGCTTACTTGGATGTGAGAGAGATTTAGATATGTGATTAATTGAAGGCAACATGATACTGCTACTAAAAATGTACCGGTATGTTGCATGCTACAGTAACATACGGGGTGCATCAGGTAGATGTTTAGGCTTGGAAAAGTATGTGCGCTTCTACATATTGGTATGATCCTTTCATGTTCGAAAAACTCAAGAATACAATAATTTGGAAGTTTGTTGTGCTAGCTTATGGAGCAATTACTGTCTCAGTGTCACTAATAACAGATCTTAATTTTTAACAGAGGAATCATTTCATTTCATTTGGTTTCCACTTTGTTTTACGTTAGGCTAATTAATAAAAAAATTTATATGATGTTTTGAGTATAATGTGTGTGCTTGCAACACCAGAAGGGACGTAAGGACGCTGTGAACTTCGATGCAGAGTTTACCAAGGAAGAGCCGACTCTCACATTCATAAATGCTGAGGTGGTTCGTGCCATTAATCAAGATGAATTTAGAGGATTCTCCTTCGTTAATAAAGCATTTAAGTCAACGGCAGCTGCACCATGTCAGGCCTAAGCTAGTGCAGCAAGAGTAAGTATAGCAGTGTGTGTGTGTGTAACTGGCTAAGTATTATTATAAAATTATAACTTAATCAAACCTTGTGGTGCATTGAACTTAGACATTCATAGAGATAAAAATAGTAACCAGCTCCTGTGCAGTTCTGACTGCTTCTCATGCAGGTGAGCTTACCACTTTGCATTTTAGTGTTGCTCTGAAATCATGCTCTCTAAATTGTGGGTTGACTGTGCTGTTGATATAAATCTTGATGCACATTCTTAATTTTCACTGAAAGTAGAAGAATGAGTAGATGCAGAAATGACTTGCAAAACGCTTAAGCTCCATGAAACTCATTGTATTTTTTCTGTATTCTCGTGGTGCTTTTGATTTTCATTAGTTGTTGATAAAAACAACCAAGTTGAGAGTAGACTTTATTAAAGATGGCATTTCACCTGTAAGGATGTCATCACACTGAAAAAAGCCTTACAGGTATATGCAAATCTTAATCATCCATAAAGTCTACACTTGATATTTTTCTCCATTGTTATCACTTGGTGCTCTTTACAACAATATTCATCACTTTCAATAAATCTATAGTGAATATATGAAGTGTGCTGCACTGCTCCCCCCCCCCCCCCACTTTGACTGGGAATGCTGTTTTCATGATTATTGGCTTTAGGATAAATACCCACACTTGTGTATTTGTGAAATTTATGTAAGGAATTTACAAACACAGTCTTTTGCACTCAACCGGAATGCTTTGTCAAGGTCCGAGTGTGTGATTAGGACGAGACTTACATCTGAACGTCTAATCTTAGATGTTCAGATGCAAGTCTCGTCCTAATCACACTCGGACCTTGAGAAAGCATTCAGGAGAGTGCAAAAGACTGTGTTTGTAAATTCCTTACATAAATTTCACAAATACACAAGTGAGTTTTTATATTATGTTATGTCTGTGAGAAGACATTACCATTACTAATTATTGAGTTTCTTGCATGAATTTCAGCTCCACATGCTGCAAGGATAGCAGCATGTGGTTCAGTAAGAAAGATAATTCTGTTTTCTTTTTTCCAGGTACAAAGTGCTAAAGTCTCTCCTGGAATTTTGATCTGCCAAAATGTGGAAAATTCAATTTTCTTCTGGTGGAGACTTGAATCAACCAGGTGATCAAAGCTATATAAGCAAAGAATAATTTTTTTAACTGTTTTAAATGCACAAAGAGTTGGATGTGGAGCAAGCACAACAGTGAATAGGATACTGTAATTATTTCTATAATACAGTACACTTATAATGATTCATTTTGGGAAGGTTTTAAAGTGGAAGATCTCTGAGAATATAGGTTACAATATTTTTTAAAAGATATATTTCATGCTGGAAAATATTTCATGGACAAGATGTAGGATGCTTTTTTATTGTGAATAGTATTTATATAGTATTGTTTTGTCAGTGCATGACGTATCTCAAGTGTAATACAAGAAATGAGTTGATAAAGAATTTTACAAAAGAGGTGACAAGTTGTTTATTTATTTTTTGCTAACTTCTCTCAGTGTAATGTTAGAAATATGAATGCCAATCTTTTGACTTCCAATACTGGAGGTTTTAAGCCTATTGCATTTTTGACATGATGAGCAACTCTGATCATTAGACAGTAGTCCAGTAATGCTCATAATGCAATGAAATTGAAGTACTTGTCAATGATGAGAATTGCTCATATAGTCACAAATAGTATCAAATGATTCCAAGTTACTAGTGACAAAGTAGACAAAACTAGTCACTGCTAGTTTTATGTCTGACTTTGAAGACATTGCAGTTGCACTGGAGGGAGGAGCAAATGAAAGGGGCTTTGGAATCATTGTAGCTTGCGGTTAAACTTTATACATGAATGGGACAATTTGCTCCCATGGCACTTGGTGGAAAAAAATGTACTATGTAAATATGCAGGAACTTCAGTAATGATGATGGTTTCGTGAAAATGCTCCTCCAGCTGCTGATGGACCAGTTTCTTGGCCACACACGTTTTTCTATCGAAAATACACACCAGAGTTGGATGAGCACCTCGGGTACTCACGAAATATGACGGGAGATAAAGGATTCATGCTGTTTACATTTGCTCACCCCTGGGTGTGACCGTGAACTTAGTAACTCTTATCTACGCACAGTTTATAATCTTGTGATGAGAGCGGCTTTTTGTGGGCCTTTTGGTGTACTTAAGGCTTTTCTCCTGCATTATAAACAGGAAAACTGCAGTTATTAAATACAGCTTTGAAGCTCAACATTGCTGCTGTCATCACCAGTGTACTACAAACATGCAGGTAGTGGATAATTATAATATTTGTAGCCAATGTGGTAATGTGCTTTTATAGTTCTCAAATGGCATACAATTACTGTGTGTCTTCTCTATTTCCTTGGCAGTTTTAATAAGGGTTCGGTGTTACTGAGCTTTAGACAAGAAAGGGATGGTTTTACATTACAATTGCAGGTAGAACTGAATAAGGTCCACAATTGTTGATTTACATATTGAGCTTAGACCAGTATTGCATTTCACATTCAGAAAAGGGACAAAGCTTTCCACCCAATATATTAATGATCTTATAAAAAGATAGGGAACCAAAAGATAATGTACACAGACATGTGTAACTCAATGCATAGTAGCAGGGGACAAAAATTCCCCACCCCATCCTACCCTACCCCGTGAATGTTGGTGTGTATGCGCATGTGTGTAACAAGTCCCAGGCGGTGGTGTGTGTGTGTGTGTGTGTGTGTCGCAGCCTACTTTGAGGTTGTAGGTCAGCCCTGTAGCCAAGATAGCCACACAGGCTACACCATTCACCACTCAGTGGCATCTCCCTTAGGGACCAGACAATTAACTTTGATTAATGGATTTCTCTGTAAAAAGGCAATTCCTATTATAATTCTCATTTGAAATATTTCATATGGTGACTGAATACAGTTATGGTGCTGATTTTATAATGTAATTAATAATGAATTTGCTGCATTAAAACCCTTTCCATTAACTAAAGATGTCTGGTAAATAATGGGAGGCACCAGTGTCAGAGACTTGCAATGAGTTCTTTCTTTGATTGTGACATATGATGCTTAATTGAGAATCTCTGGACTGGTGAAGCAGCCTAGAGTAGGCTAATATTGGCTATGGTCTCAGGTTAGTGAATTAAGCCAGTGATGCTGCGACCCGTCACCGCTGCGCCCTCTAGCAAATCTTCCAGTCGTTTGTCTGTTGATTATTTTATTTTTTTGGTAGTGTGGTACTATTGTGATGTGTGGGCAGCGGGGTGTGGGCAAGTCTCCCCCAGCACTGCCCGGTGCTTCTCTGCCTTTCACCTGCGTGTGCCCACAGTATTGCTCCAAGCCTGAACTTTACTCCTGGCCCCCACCTCTTTGGTCTGGCTGGGAGCAGAGGAACTAGGTTGAATGTCATTGAGCCGCTGGGGGTCCAGGTCCAGTCACGAGTGTGGCCCCCCAGCTGGCTACTCAAGTCACTTGTCATCTGCCTTATCGTCTTTCGCACAAAGAAGGAATTTTGTTGTGACTGGTGGGTGAGCTTGATGGGGGGCAAGCAGTGATCCGTCTCCCCCAGGTGGCTGGTGCCACTGCGATCACTGGCTGCCTTAGGCCATACTCAAGGCCTATGCACCAGAAGCCACACCTGCTGTCTCTGTGTGCAATATTACTTGGCCTTGGCTTAGAAGAGGCTTTGTAAACCTTTCCTAACCCTCTGGCCAAGTTTGGTGTGGTGCCGTGTTGCATCCATCCCTGCTCACCCACCACCAAGGCAGTGTTCTCCAACCATTCTTGACTCATTACCATATCTCATAGCCCAGAAAACATTGGTATTGCAACAAGGCCAAAGATAGTAGATAATGTACTGGTAGAAAAAGAATCAAATCTTGTAGTTTGCAGTTTTGCTGTCTTCATTGTTTGTGTTGTGGTCGAAATCTGCATTGTTAAGTAGATAGTTGTCTTGTGAGCTGCTTACAACCCAGCAAAACCAGGAATGCTTGTTTGTTTGCAGTCCAACAGACAGTCATGGGCAGACAGCCTTTTGCAGTCATTTTGTATGCCATACAAGCCTCCACCATTGCTGGGGAATTGTGGTGCATGCAACACACAAGTATACTGGACTTATGGTGAAGGTGAATGAGGTCTGCAAAAATTCTCGTGCAGCATGCAAGAGACTGCGACATAAATCGAGCATCCTGGTCAGGTGAGATATGCTATTTTTGCTGTAGTCTGCCAGTGAGTGACTACTGCATGCTGTGAAGCTGAAAACAGTTGCATGCACAGCAGAAGCAGCTTTGTTTCTCTGCTGATGTCATAGCTGACCTGCTTGATAAAAAAACATATAAAGCAAGCAGTATGCCCACCATTAATGCTCTGTAGACAACACTTTGTGTTTATTAGTATTGCTGTCAGTAGAAATTGCTCTATAATGTGCAGTGGAGAATTACCTTTCCACCTCACTACCAGAGTGGTCTCAGATAGCCCGGTCTGATTCATATGCTGGACTAGTCTTCGGCTATGCCGGTGACTTGCCCTACCTGCTGACACATGGCAGCACGTGGTAGGGTGAAACCCATCGTACAGAAGTGCTACACCCAGTGTCCAGTCTCATAATATATTGGAACATACTATTCATAATGTCTGGTATATCTGCCTCCAATTATGCCAGATGTAAGCACCGAGAGGTGATAGGTTTTCTCCCATCTGCTGTCACTCATCTGTGCATCTGGAATCTCAAAAGGGGCAGGTACTCTATAAAATCCTCAGTGGCTCTCGGGCCCTCACCCTTACCCCCTGCTGTGCCACTCCAGGCTGTGCCGCTGCTGTAGGCTGGAAGCTTACAGAAGTAATTTGCATCTTTCCACTTTAAATGGTGCAGGCTCTGGCCCAAATTATGCAACAGCTATACATCTTGACAAAAATCTGAGTGCTTCTATCTCAAATTCCCAGCTGGTTATGTAATTTCAAATGAGTATTCAATAGCCATATGCCTGTTTCAGAAGATAGGACCAGATTAGATGAGGTTGCACAGTAGGGGCTTCTGTAAGTCATAAACTTTTCATGGCAGCGGCTTGGAAGGAGAGTGGCGGCAGGGAGAAGTTACGGGATCCTGATACCCCTCAGAACTCTGACTTATCATGGAGTCCGACTCGTAGTAGGGCCCGTCTTGCTGTGGGGATCGACTCCCTGACAGTCTCGACTCAGTGGGGCCTGACTCACTGTGATCATCAGTATTCTTCCCTTCCTCGTCGTCTGGGTGCTCTAGGGTAGGGCTGGTGCACAAAACAAATGCTGTGTACAAAGTATTTGCATAGGATGCATTTTTACTGTATGCATGTGCAATCTGGCAGTATCATCCCTCCTACCCTACCTCTTCCTGTAGTCCTACCCTCTATGGTGCTTATCTGTCAAGGCACCTGCTGGGATAAATATGAAGGTTGGACAGAGCACTATTTTTCAGTTCTCTTTTCCTGTTCAGAGCACCCAGTCTATGTTGGATACACAACACCTCATCCCCTTAACCCTTGCAATCCCACCCTGTAATACAATCATTCATGTCGTCATTGGTATTGTACTTAATTGCATTTTCATTACTTTAGTTTGGATCTTAAGCCAAAGAGATTGATGTTAGCTGTAGATTGATAGACATTTTAATAGATACATGAATTGTTCCCATAACTATTCTATTTGTAAATGTTGGTCTGAGAGAGAGAGTGGATGTTGATGTGCATGTTTGCTGCTGATCTGTGGTGGGTTGGAAAGAAGGACAAAGCAAGTCGGGTCTATGGCACGGGTCTTAGGTGATGAAACAAAACTTGTGTACCAGATGTTAGACACGGGAACATTTTAAAGTATATTAGCCAAATTGTCTCTTAAAAGAACATATTTGGCATTATGCTGTTTCTACTTCATCTGAGAGGTTAAGAGTACAGGCAGTCTTAACCATAACAAAAATAACCTCGAGTACACTACAGTTCATCACCAGCCCAGTTCAAAAAGCCAACCTGAACCTGCCATTGAAATGAATGAGCCTTCAGCCCAACTTCTCCAACAGGGAGTGTAGAGCCTAATGCCCAGCTTCTTCTGATACACATGACCCTGCACTGTGTTGGTGCCTCAGTCAGGTTGCCTACAACACTCCTGAGCTTGGGTCAACCCTCTTCTACCCATGGACCACTGTGCCAAAATCAACTGTCTCCCTCACTTCAAACATCAGTGTGCCCGTCTGTGTAATATTCTGATTACTGTAATGATATGTCAATGGGTATTTTTGTCTCCTAAAAAAAATACTTATGTCTTTCTCTCAGCTGATTGTATGAGAAGCGTGATATAAATATATTTAAGTGTTCGAGGGATTTTTTTATTGAGAACCTTATATGTACTAATGGTATGAGATCAGTATTTGTCTAAGAGCATTTCTGGGGGAAAGAGTCCCTTGTGGCTCCCTGAAGCTGTATGCTGAGATGGTTACCATCTACTGGGTCACACCAGTTGTATAGTTCTAGAGACCAACCGGGGACTGGAGCCAGAACCCAGCTCCCCTCTTGAGCTGCAGTGAGCGGTGACATTTATTTTCACCACCTCACTGGGGAAGGCAACCAGAAAGTCAGCGTATCAAAATACAACTCCCATTCTATCCAGTGGTCGACCCGAAAGACGCATTCATTAATTTTAACATTCTGTTCATTCAAAACAGAACGTTTCTCAAATATAAATTAATATTATTATATATTAGCATATTGTGCATATTTAGGCACTGGTTAGGTTAGGTGTTTCGGTTCTGTTGCCGATTATTTGCATTTGTAGTACATGGGTGAAGCATTTACAGCGTTGTAGTTCAAACAAGTCATCAGGGAGACACTTGTTCTGGAAGTGTTCGGATATCATCAGTTGTGAGTCTTGTGTAAACCGTTTTTTATTAAAAAACGGGGTTTGGTGGGTGCATGGAATGGACTTTGGACTTTAAGGACGGGCTGCAAAATAAACCACTACTGGATTCAAAGAGACCAAAGCCTCAAAATTGGCCCACAAATGATCGAATTCTCTCTGAACTAGTGCAAGCTTGTTTCCCCACCGCCCACGTTTATTTCAGGGGAGATAGCTCACTGCCTGCAGGGTCTGAGCAAAGGGCTAGCTCCTATTCGACTCTGTTCCCTCTGAGGAGGGTTGTTTCCTGCAGTGAAATGCTCTCAGACAGTCTGTCCTAGTTCCATCTTGTTTCCACAGAATGGACTGTTGATGCTGCCATCTTTCTTTGGCTTTGCGTGACGTATGGGCTCCTGGATGTGGACCTCTTTGTGTAGGCATGGAATCGGCCCCTTCTTTTGTATGTGGTACTATTCTTTATCATGAGGGTCTCACGGTGGAAACCTTTTGGCTGGACTACTTGAGGTGGGGGGGGGGGGGGTCCCTAGCTCCTCTTTCATCTGGTCTGGCTGTTGCTCAGTGGCCTGGCCAGGTTGGAATCCTACCAAGGAAGAATCATTTTCCTGGTTCCCTGGAGGCTGGCTCAGCCTTGGTTTTAGGTGCTGCTTGCTTGGTGTCTATACCCAGGCATTTTTCTGCGGCTCGGTCTCTATTAGAAGGTCAGCTTGGTGTCTTACTTTTGTGTCAACCTTCTCCTCAGCTCTCCATTTGGACTTTTAAACCCATATTTCTCGCCATCTTGATGGCAACCTTCTCTGATGGTGTCTGACCTGCATTCTTCTCGGAGACAGTATGAGGTTTCATGGCACTCCTTTCACATCACTGGGCTTTGGTTTCAGTGTGTGATGCTCTCCTCCTCTTTCTTGGTTTTTTCTTAGTCGGCATCTCGTGCCAAATACTGTCGCCTCATCGTGTGGCACTGGCAGGCACTACAGCTTGTTAGTTGTAGATACAATCTTGGTGCCATTTCACAGGCTTTCTCGTGGATCATTTCACCTCTGGCCTGCTCATGCACTACTTGAGCCTGCCTGGTCTTTGGCCCTGTTTTTTTTTTCTTTCTTGTCATCTGAGGTATCCCTTTCTATCTGGGATTCCTTCACTAAGGCTTTGCCTTTGGTTTTTCTTACCACCAGTTACTGGGTTGGGAAGCTTCATACTCTTCCAAAGGCAGGGTATTTGTTTGGCTCTGGCCCAACCACTTGGGCTGGACGATAGAACGATAGTCTCGCTTCATGCAGGTCGGCGTTCAATCTCCGACCGTCCGAGTGGTTGGGCACCATACCTTTTCCCGTCCCATCCTAAATCCTGACCCCTTCCAAGTGCTGTATAGTCGTAATGGCATGGCACGGCACTTTTCCCTGATAATTTCCTACCTCTTTTGGCTCTGATGAGTGGCATGTTCACTGCAGCCAGCTCCTCTTCTGGTGAAGAGAGAGTTGGTTGACTCCTTGGACAGGTCCCTTGGTTGCATGGTGTTGTGTCCGGTGGTGGCTCTCCACCACGACCATCTTGCCACTGATTCTGCTTTAGTGAATGCCTTGTGGGTTCATCCAGTTTCCTCTGTCTCCTGTTACATGGCTTATTTTCTGGGATCATATGTCTTGGCCAGAAGTCTCGTCCTTGTTCTTATTCCTGCGCTGCTCCATCCTCTCTAGTAAATTCTTATATTTTCTTCCTTCTCCATGGGTATTTAGCTTCAGGGAGCCACAAGGGGCTTCCCTCAGAAAATCAGTTCTGAATGTAATGAAATGTCGATATCTGGGTAAGCCCCAGAGGCTTCCTGTTCCTCCCTACCAGGTCATTTGGTGGATGTCTACATCTGCCCTAGATCTCGGGGCCCCAGTAGACGGTGAGCTACCTGCCAAGTGTGGATGCTTCTTTTGGCCGGTGTTGAAGCTTTGGTCTCCCTTGATTCTAATAGTATTGTAGTTTGTTTTGACTGACTTTCTGGTTGCCTTTTTTGGTAAGGTGGCAAAAGAAACATCACAACTCCCTGTGCCTTTGAGTTGTTTAAGATTCGCTACCTGGATAAAAAAATGTTAGAAGTAGCACGAGCTATGGTAAGCCCATCGGTGTGTGTGCCTCTGAGGAAAAAAGACTGGGTTCTGGCACCAGTCACTGGTAAGTTTCCAGAACTGTATGGATGATGTGACCCAGTAGATGGTAATTATCTCAGCATGTAGTTTTAGGGAGCCACTGGGCCTTGTCTTATAATAAAAATTTTTTATTATAAGCATTGCTGTAACTCTTGCATGAAATAATTCATTAAATGTTTAAGGTAAGGAAAGAAGTTTGAATGTTTAACCTTTATTACTCTGACATTAAAGCAAAATTATAAAACCTTACATAGTATTTACAACAATTTTCATTAACTGAATAGCAACAGACCAACAGTAACAAAAGAAAACTGCCACCATTGAATGTAATGAAAATGCAATTTCTGGGAGAGCCTCGGTGGCTTCCTGAAGCTACTTCCACCGATAGTGTACTATCTTTTGGGTCGCATTAGCCAACCCGTTCTCGCAAATTTAATAAGTCAATATTGACTTATTAAATATGTGCATAGGTGACATACTTAACAATAGTTTCCCTTGAAAAGCTTCATAGAAAACACCGACCTTACCTAACCTTCTTAGTATGTTAAGATAAGCATCTTATTGCTTCGTAATTACAATTATTACCTAACCTATACCTATAATAGGTTAAGTAACAATTGTAATTACGAAGCTATAAGATGCTTATTTTAACATACTAAGTAGGTTAGGTAAGGTCGGTGTTTTCTATGAAGCTTTTCAAGGGAAACTATTATGTTTAGTATGTCACCTATGCACGCAACTAATAAGTCAATATTGACTTATTAAATTTGCGAGAACGGGTTGCATTAGCTGCAGAGTTCTATCTGGTCTACCGGGGACCAAGAGCCAGAACCTGGCCACCCCTCGGAGGCACGGAGTACTGGCATTTATTTATTTATGCCACCACCAGGGAAGGGACCCAGAATGTCGGCAAGAAAAAAAAAAAAAAACACACGGCTCTACAAGAGATCGTAGTTTCACGAACTGCCAGAACTACTCTGCAACAATATGAACAATCTATCGAAAGTTTAAAAACGAAAGTTCGAAAAAACAACCGCCAGCTCATTTGCCTCATTTGTTTGGGGATGGGAGAAGGGGGGGGGGGGTAGTAGTAGCTAGCAGGTGACAGCCCTCGGTTCTAGGTTAGATGTGAGAAAGTCTCCACCCTCCCTGAACGACCTGGAGAGGGAAGGTGTCCAAGCCACCAGAGTTAACACAGGGCCAGGGAGGAAGAATCACTGAAAGGCCAGGATGCAGCAGACAACCCAAAGCCCCACAAGGGTGCCTGGGCCTAGACAAATTGACAAGATACCTGGCTGCCTAAACCGTGTTTGGAGACTTAGGAGGATGAAAATCTCCAGAAAGACGATCCTGATGGGTCCAAAGGCATGCAGAACTGAACCCCTAGGAGTACGCCACATTTAAAGCATATTCATAAAAGGGGGGGGGGGGGTTGGATATGGAAACCCCACCCCCTGCAAAAGGAGCCAGGCTTAAATGTCAAACTGACTCATCCAACAGAAGCTGCAGTGGAGGGGCCCCAGGCAGTGTCAGCATTCTCAACCAGAGGAAGAAGGTTCTGGCCAAAAATACCTAGAACCCTCAGCACGACTAGCCAGCTCGACTGCCTCTATACCTGCATTGGACGGGGCAACCCCTGGAGGCACATCTTTAACTAATCCCTACCCAAAACCCTTTGACCCTTTATGCCTGGAAGCAGCAAAGAGGATCAGAAGAGCGAACCATGTCTGCCGGGAAAAGGTGGTAGAGTGGACTGACCCAAAATTATATTGACGAAAACCTCCAATTCCAGATGCCTAAACACCAACCTGGGTAGCTTAGGGGCATCCACCTGGGCACATAACCAAGCCCAATGTAACCTACCAAACTGAACTTGTAAAATGGTTGCTGCCTGAGAAGCCTAAACCTCATTAGGAGCCAAAAAGAGTGGCCATACGAGAACAAACCCCACAAGATTCGGGGTCGAAGGTGTCACTGACCCAACAGGCAGTATGGCAGAAGGAATGAATATCGCCAAGTGCCATGAAACTTGACCAAGCGGGAAACCCAGGCACTGATGCTACGCCGACTAAAGGAATACTCCACTGAATCTATACCAACAGAACCAACACTAATAGTGTGATGTCCATGTCTATTAATACAGGAGTAAACCAATATATACAAATGGCATAGTAAGCCAACATAGCCTGGCTTAGGTCAACTTCGGTGCACTAACGTGTAGCACGAGAATACCCAGTGTACTCCAAGTCAGCAAATGCTGCACAATACCAGAGTAAATAGAGACCCAAATAACCTAACCCCCACCCTGGGCAAGAACCACCACAAGCGATGAGGGACTGGGGAAGTTACCCTGTGAAGTGTAAGGGCAGCACTAGCAAACACACAAGGAAGGAAACCCTGTGCACATGCACTTCAGTCCAAACTTGCCCTACACTAAGCAGCATACAGAAAAGCCAAGAATGGCAAAGAAATTACTACTTAGCTGAAAGCAGAAAACCGGAGCCCAAGCTGAGAGGCAATACACACACTATACACATCAGAGAACCAAGGGCTGCAAAACCAGCTGATTGAGCTACCTTTTCCCCCCACGCAGGAGTAAGATGGGTTAAATGACTGGTGCTTGTTTTGTATGTTTTGATCTTTTGTTTACATTGTTGGAGAGTTCTCCTGGCTATTTGTGGCTACGGACTCTCTTCATAGCTGTGGTTTGTTTCGTCTTGCTGGGGTCCCTTCCCTGCTGTTGGCATAAATAAATATATAAATATCACTGCTCCCTGTGCCTCTGAAGGGGGCCAGGTTTTGGCTCTTGGTCCCCAGTTGGCCAGACAGAACTCTGTGGTTGATGCGACCCAGCACCTGGTACACTATCGGTGTAAGTAGCTTCAAGAGATCCAGACAGGGCTTCCAACAAGAAATTCCTATTGCCATACTGTATTAGCAAGGCATTGTCTTGTAAATTATACATTAACAACTAAATTCATTTAGTATACTATTTTATTTCTAATCTCGATGTACAGTATTCTTAGCTAAGTAATACCTTAATTTCTATCACTTGCATACAGAAATTGTTAAAATGCCAGTATAATTTTTTTTACAAAGTTTATAAGCAAGATTAATTTTATATGCAAAATATTCAATATTTGTCCATGTCATCCTTGCCTAATGAGATACAGGTGTCAAAAGGATTAGTGCCCAAAACGCTTGTCAAAATTACAAATTGTGGTTCAACTACAAAATAAAATTATTGCAATTTACACTTAAAAGAAAAGTGGTGAAAACTAGTGGAAAAGTAGAACATGAAATTAGGACATATCATCCATCAGGTTGTTAGTGTCTGTAGCCCAAATGCTGCCTCTAAACCTTACACATTAATGCTTCAATGGGCAACCAGTTTTCTGTTTTGTTTCACTAAAAATTTGTGTAACTACAGCAAAGTATTCCTTTACCATCCAAAATTAAAAATCTCGTACTGGAAATAATGATTACTGGATTTTTGTAACTAATGATTTCATCCATTACTGTATAAAGGCATTTAGGGAACGGAATAATGCTACCTTAGCACCACCTTTATTATATAAAAAAAAAACTGGACTATAACACTTTGGTTTAACTTAAAATACAAATCTTGAATACATGTGCATATCATAAGATTCAGTATTTTAATTAGTTTATAACGGTATTTAAGCTGATGTCCCTTTCAAATTTAGTTTAATTCACACGTAAAAACTATTCTCCCCCCCCCCCCCGTTAAAACATTGAGAAACTGTCCTTGCTAAACAAGGTTCAGCAAGGGCCTGTATGTACCCTTAATGTATAAAATAAGTTAATTTTGGCAACTTGCACACCCAAACCTTGGCACATTTCACCATGATAACACACCCATGAAATATTTACTTTGTTCAAGGCTTCTCAAGTTCTCCTATGCTCACATCATGCTTTTTTAGTTACACTATCTGCAATATCAGACTCGGAAGTTGTCTATTGCGACAAATTGTTTTAAAAATAATATTTACCCCATGTCCATTGGGAAAATGCAAAACAAAGCATTTTCAGTACAGTATGTAAAAAACTTGAGATCCCTAGAAGTGTTCTGTAGCATATATAAAACCAGAGCCAATAAGGTTACTATTGCCTATAACTATACAATGCATTATTTAATGCTTTTGAGTTCCACCAAGTCGATCCAGACTCCCTAATATTAGTCATATTTACACTTATTCTTAAGAAAATGTTATCACAGTTTTGTTTCTATACAAGATATACTGCATGGATTCTCTATTGTAATTTTACTCTTATCCCATAACAATAAGGGAAGAAAATAATGGTAGCATGGTATATCCTTATCATACAAATATACAAATAAGATTATTACCGTTCCACAAAGATTAGGTGAACTGTTTGCTGGCAATTTCATCAGCTTTCTCACTTGTCTCAGATGTTAAAAGGTTGCTCAGGTATTTATTCATTGACACAACACTTGTGGTCATCACCGAGCTGGATGTAACCGTAGTTGGCACTACCAGGGCCGATGGAGAAGTAGGTACCACGGGGGTTATAGTGGGCATAGTTGGAGTAGTGGAAGCTGCAGCCAGGAGAGGTGATGAGTTTCTCGAGCCCGATTCACTACCAGATGCCGATGCATCCCCAATGCTGATAAATGGGTTGATCTGTCAAAGATTAAATTATCACTCTTACAATGAATCATTAAAGGGTTCAAATAGTGATTTACTGTTCAGTAATATTGTATCACTAATAATGAAATAATGCAAAAATTAAAGCAAAATGATTTTAATATAGGTAGTGACAATGAAGAGAACATTAACAGGAAGGCAAACAGCACCCTGTAATCATTGAAATACAATGTGTCACTGCTCTAGTCAACCTAATCAAATTTTCAGTTTGAACTTTGCTAGAAAAAAGTTCGAATTGACAAAGAAGAATTCTTGAAACCTGGAACAAGAGGACAAATGCTAAAAGTAAGGAACCTAAGCTAAAAAAAATGAAAAAAAAAAAAAGTTCATTTTGCAAACAGTGGTAGACGGTTAGAACAAGCTAGGTGGTGGTGGAGGCCAAACCCATCAGTAGTCCTGAAGATTACTGGGAAGATGGAACATCACGAGATAGCTCATCCTGTAACTACACTTAGCAAATTACATAATTATCAAAACAGATGGTTAAATGTATAGGATCATAACTATATCTTTGAATACCAGAGCTGCTAGCTGGCTGGCTGAATCTATAATTTTGTCATATCATTATCTACCCTATAAAGGGTACATAATGATAAAGGGTACCCTTCTTTACCCAGAAAAGAAGAATATTTCCATAGGCGTAACACTTTCGTGAGGGAAGCAGGTCAGCTAACTCACTACTGCCTTTCCTCACCCACCACATGAGGAAAGACGGGAGACGACCACCATGGCTGCCCACCACGGGCAGCAAATTCCTTAATTTTAGATTTTCGATCCAATAACGATCATGTATATACTGTATAAGTTTGGCACCAAGCTAAATGCCAGTGATTGCTTTATCTTGTGTGGTTTCCAGGAGTCTGACAGTTCAAAGAAAAGCCCCATTAACATTAGCTTTGCCCCATAGTGTTTGATGGCATTCCCACTGTACTGTAATTAGATCAAGATGACAATCTTACCTTATTAGCAGCCTGAGCTTTAGCCTGAGCTTTCTTCTCAGCTTTTTCTGTGGTCTGCTGAACCATCTGAACAGCTGGGAGGCGAGCCTGAAGCCGTGGACTCGATTCATCCTCGAGAAATCTGATGAACGCTTGCGAGAGTGACTGTAAATAGACACATATCAATAAATATGTTAAAAGTAACATGGGATATATAGAACAAAATATTTGATAGAGCACTTGTGAAATAGTTTTTTTTTTTATCCTGTGATATTTAATCAACTTTAACCAGCATTAAACATTGGCTCAAATTTCAAGCTCAACATTCAGATTCTGTACACTCCAAGACTCACTGTATGATCCAGAACATCCACCTTCGAGGTAACACGAACATTACTCGCTGGGGGAGCAAGGAAATTAGCTATGGATGAGAGCCATGAGGTACCATGCACATCCAATCCTGTTCGGGCACGCTCTTCCCCAGAAAAGTTCAACACCTCGGCAATAATTCGGAGAACTTCTTGACGATTGTCTGCTGGAGTTGCAAAGTAACCCACAAGTAGATTACGTAAAAGGGGCCTGTTGAAATCCATTACATTTATTACCTTGATGATAAAAACAAGAAAATGTAAGAAATTCTTGCAGTACAGAGTCAACACTATTGAATAATACCACATTCCTTAAACCTCATTAGGTGTGTTACGCATTTCATGAAGGTGCATATAATTACAATTTTCTATCAAAAATTTCACATTTTAATCACAATGAATACTGTAATTACATAGGAAGTTTTACAATTAAAAACTTTAAATAAATTATAACAATCCAAATATGTTCTAGTTATACAAGATGGCAATTGAGAGACTAGAAGCACTAATCAGTTTAGGACCTTCACAAGACAAAGTGCCAGTGCTGAGGCACTCAACTGAACAGTAAATAACCTAATGTACACCTGGCAACATGCATTACAGTAAACAGAACAGGAGACCAGTGTTAACTAATCGACTGTCAAAACCTCTGTATTGGACCCAACTTAAATACAATGAAAAGCATTCATAAAGTAAGTAAGTTCATCTAAATGTCTCTATGTATGACAGTTGTTTGTCAACAATCATCAATCCAATGCAAAGAAAATCAACCAATGAACTCAATAAGGAGGGAGGGTCCAGGGAGCCACCACCGAGACCTCCCCAGGAGGAGGCATTTCACTATACTCAACACTGGTTTTCTCGGAAGGGGGGGGGGGGGGCGGGGGGGGGGGGGGGGGGGGGGCGAGCAGTGGCTTCCTGTTATCAACAGAAAGAGAAAAAATGAGACTTACCAGGGAGATGATAAAGGATCAAATTCCTGAAGGGGATAAACCAGGACGGAAAAACCCTTCCAAGACCGCCACAAGCAAGACACAAACCGGGAAAACAACCTGTCGGGACCCTATTAGACTTCCAAAATCATGAAGCCAAAACAGCCAAGACGTTAGTAAAGACAGCAGGCAAAGTTGCAAATTTACCAAAATCATAGGCCCCAAGGGGGAGGCCATAAGTTCCCTAAATTTAATGACACTGCAGACAACTTGAATCTATTTTCACCCCTGAAAAAGCTTCCTGCACCTCTGAGGGGAAAGGGGCAGATTTTGGCCTCTAGTAAGCTATTAAGAACTCCTAGGGTTATAATTTGTGTGTCTAGGTCTTTCAGTGTGGCTAGCTACACAGCCACATTTAGGCCCCTCCTCCAGAAAAATGCATACTCGCCAAGGATTTATAATCCTTAAAAGGCATATCCAAAGCATTAACTGACACATCAATAAGAAAGTGGGTGGTTTCTTTAACTGGCTCATTAGTAAGTGGCAAACAACACTTGAGGTGGCTACTCACTTATCAACTTTTGCTTCCGAGGACGACTTCAAACAAATCATTTCGTCACGTGCTTTGCGGGCAACTTCTTCTTGAGATGTCACTGTTGGTACCAGTGAAGAAACACAGATTTAGAGACAAAATTCTTGTCACCCCACAACCTGTTCTGCTGCTATAAACACCAGGATGTCAATTTTAAACCCATAACTAAATTAACCATTTTATACAATTATTTACTTCTCTATGAGATCCACTATTTAATATGGAAAAGAAATCACAAATAATTTTGACACTTTCTAGTATTCAATTTAAGAGAACTTTAAATAAGGCAAATACTGTATTTATGAAATACAGTTTTCCTTTTAAATAGATTCTGTGCATTACTTGGCACCGACACCAAATTGAAAAAAGACTAGTAAAGATGATATCTGTGCCTGTAAGGGCAACATCCACCTTTACATCTCAGTGAGGAAAGATATATCGTAAAGCCCTTACCGGTAAAACATCACTCGATTAAGTCTTTTTTTCATCTGTGTTCCTCTACATCACTGTTAGCACTTTGTGCTTTGTTTATTCTTTGCATCGTAGCTTGAAATTTAAATATGAATCATAGTAGTGTACAGTATTATCACCAGTAAATTAAAGTACTACGCATCTCTTAAATTTAAAACCAATGTTTTGATATAATTATGCAGTTGAGTCGTTTGTAAATTTTATCAACTTCAAGAAAATATATTTGAAAGCTTAAAACAATTAAGAGAAAAAAATTAGAGGATAAATTTCAGAGTATACTATACTGTACTGTGTACAGTATAAACACACAATATCAGCCGACAATCATTTAACTAAAGTGGCAAGAAGAGCATTATTAATCATTTAATAATGTATGAAATGTGTGATTAGATACTTATACATAAAATCTGTTATACCCACCAATCCAATGATAAACCTGTGACGTCTCTCCGGCAAACACCGAGTAAACCTTATGAAGCCAGTTACCACAGAGCAAACAAGCCAAACCCAAAGAATCAAGCAGTCTGTAATATCATTTCAAACGTGGCCCACTAAACACTGTCCATTAACATATAACTTAAATGTGTGATCAATTGCCACCAGGATTATTACAGTGAAGACTAACTAAAGCAGTAAGCAAGACTTATGCTATTCACAATGTTTTCCTAATACAAGTTAAATTTAAATACTGCATCTAGTTGGAAATCATCATTTAACAAAGACAGACATATTTGCTAGTAACAAACTTAAAGAAACAATGGTAAGCACCAATCTTAAAGCTCATCTCATTAAAAAATAAAGTAGCACATATTAAGTACAGCAGATAATGTACATCTTGGATCAATTGTACCAACATTCAATAAGCCAAAAATCATTATACCACTCATTAAACTGACACACCAATTCCTCTATATAATAAATTTGACTGCTAAGCTGTTGCCTTTAAACTCTAGAGTACTGTATTCATAAAATAAAAGGATTTAAGTGATCTGATAAATATCAAGTATCTGGACAGACTCCATAACAAGTCAAAATCTTAACTATTTAAAGGAGCCAATTATATCATTTCTTTACTGTACGTAAAGGAATGGTTATAGTATATCGTTCAACAAATATTTTCCTAATCCATAATCATATTTTTCAAACTTTACGTGATGGTTTTCCTCAATGTTTGTCATGTTCGTAAAGTACATTATAAATATCAAAATACAATTAAGCTCCAAGCTTATCAAACACACTTAAGGCATCTAAGAAATGGATTTTCTTTGATATTTGTAAATGTATGAAATATGACATGCCAAATCAGTTGTTCTAATTACTCATGGGTAAGAACTACATGTAGTCATGCCCCGAGGGAGTTTTGCTTTCGAAGATGGGCATCAGACTGCAAACTTCACAAAGCTCAACCACATCTGGTATAAACTAATTATATGTTTTACCTCCAAAACCTTCTGCTGAAGGGGGACTGCATGTAGAATCCACTCACTCCTTTCACAACTTCAAATGACAATTTTTTTTTCTAATTTTAATCATTTGCAACTGAATTTGAAAATATTTTACAAATTTTCAGATGCCAATGAAATTGTAAACATTTATCAAGATGTGCATTTAGCCAAATTTGAGGCTCTTTTCAGACTGCAGCAAATTATTGACATACAAGAATCTACATTACGTAAATAGGATACATCTGATCTTACAGGAATTATAAGGCACTATTCTAGAGACATTAATCATTAGGAATTGTAAAATATGTCATCATACAATACTATTACGTAAATTTTTACTATAGATATTTGTAAACTACAGTAGTCCAAAAATCACAATGTTGATAACCAAGAGTTAAAAAAAAAAAAAAAATAGGAATTAAAATAAGCAGGCAGGATCAAAATTCAAATACAATACAGAACAAGATCGTCAAACTTTCCAGGCAATAAAGGAAACAAATTATCGAGATCTATACGAGCTGTGGGTAGGATGGGTGGGGAGAAGACCGTGCAGTCAGTAGGGTGGGTATTACATAGCCACTGGTTCACATGCACACACCAGTACCTGATGTAATACTCACGCCTCCGTCCCGCCTATTCGCATGCCGCCGATGCAGACATTTCCCTCGCTGGCCCGCCAAAGCTTCTGCCAGATAAGTCTTGATTGGGCTGGCTGGGTCAACTAGCAGTATACGAGCATGTGGTATGTTGAGGAGCAATCATGCTACTACGACAGCATGGAATACAAGGGGTAATTGCCATGCCAAGAATTAAAGAGTAAATGATGAGTCACAATAACATGGCCAAAGATATGATGACCAAACCACACAAACCAGAAAATGAAGACAATGTTTTGGTTCAGGATGGACGGAAACAGTTCCTTCATTTTCCGACGTGTGGTTTGGTCATCATTAAAGAGCAATTTTGACTAAGTTTTCATGAGAGATAATGTGAGAAATTCTTTGAATGAACATAGCATGAATGATGTTGCCTACATCTCTCTTATTTAATCAAAATAATTTTCCTATACATGGCATACAAATTTGCACAGCATTTCAATTTTCCATTAACTAATGGAAAGGATGAAATTCAAGCTAAAAAAAAAAACAAAATTAAAGGCAAATGTTAAAATAGACCATCTCTCATGAAGGTTATGGCAGATGCAGTCATGCATTAGACCAAAGTTGTCATGCATGCTCTCAAAATGTACTCTCACCACTTTCTTTCCATGCTGCTACATCATAATATATATATACTGTACTTACCAGCAATCAAAATTACCATACTGTATACTGTAATTGTAGATATATTTCACATACATGGGTACTGTAAAGCATTAAACTGTGCCGCCACCAGCGAGACTGTAGCATGTTTTGCGTAGTGTACCGACTTATTCCTGTAGCTTTTTATGTCCAATTTTATGAAACTGCCCAATGTTTAATTCTTAAATATACTCTACAACAAATATTTTCTATAGTGTAATCAGAAAATTTAACATTTCAGAGCAAGTGAGCCACATTTACCTTTCTTTTAAGATGCAAATTAATTATATAAATAAAGCTTATACTATACATATGAACTACAGCATCCTAATACCTTAACATGAATTTCATCCACTTACATTATATTAAACTTGATACATTTGACAATTTTTAAAGTACAACAACCATCTTGGACATTTTATCTCCATCTATATTGGCGTTTGCAAGTTTTTAAGCGTTTCTATCCGAATACAAAAGTTAAAAGTTAATACATGATTAGTATCCTCATTAGAACACTGTGAACACTGTGTAGTAGGAGTACTGGTGCTCGTGAAGCACACGCTAAACATCAACATGCAGTACAGCAATCAATTATCAACCTTAAATTAGCATTCTAAAATTGCTTCATGCACATGCAATCCAAACATCATGCCAAGTCATCTATTTATATCTAAAAAAAAAACATGCAGTGTAAATTTGTAAGTAGATAAATTCATTACTTTTTAAGTGATTGCAAAGTTTCTTAAACTCATAAGAAGTGCAAATTATATTTTTATAAAGTTAACACAAATATATTAAAATACAATAGTCTTGATTATCTGATATAATTTGCATAAAACAGATCTTGTTACATATTAATCCTCTTCCTATTTTGATTCCAGCAGAGTGAATTGCATATGTAAAAGATGTTTAAATAATAAAGAGGTAGAACAAATGCTGCATAGAATTTGGAATCTGTTTTGAGGATGGAATGCAAAGAGGACCCCTCCCAAAAATTGCTCACTAACAAGTATATTAGAATGAAATGGGACCATTTTATAAACTCTTACAAGGTTCTCATTGCTATCTTTAATTACCTCCTGTGCTCTAAACACCATATATGATTATTTTACATGTGATTTGTGACTTTTTTTGTTGTCATGTCTACCATGGTGTAGGTTAAACTATTCTTGAACTTAATGAATCAAAGAACTAAACATGCTGCATGTCAAGATGGTAAACTAAATGCTATAAATTGAGAAATATTAGTCAAAATTTCCAGCAAAAGGTTTATTTTTTTTTTAATAAGTGCAAAAAGGTGAGACTTTATGAATGACTGTATATCTCCATATCAAGTGTAATTAATGGTACTTTAGTGCAATTGCCCATCTATAGTTTCAGGATAAGAGTAATGCTCATGGTTTCCCATTTTTCCAGCACTTTCATGATGCTTTGAAACTACCGACAGTTTTGGTATCCAATATCTTCTCACTTGACTTGTTCCAATCGTTTACCACCGTTTGTTACAGAGAACTTTCTAATGTTCTCAGATACCTTTGTTCCCTTAACTTGAATCTGACCCCTTCTTGAAATTGCAGATTTCAAGAATTCCTCTCAATTTTGTATATTCCTGTTACTATTTTGTATGTAGTAATTGCATTGCCTTTTTTTTTCTTCTATCTTTAAACTTTAGTATATTTAACTCCTCATAGCTTTTGTTTTTCAGCTGCAGAAGCATGTGTTCTCACCGTTTCCAGTGAGATGCTCTTCTTCAAATATGGGCACCATACTACTGCATGCAAAAATTGTACATTTAAAAGTAATTCTGAAGTTGGAGAGCATAGCATAGGTTCCTCACACAATGC